ACATACAGAGAGACACCAAGGATAAGCTTTATCCACAGAAAGGAGAGGTCATGTGACGATACAGTGGGAAGGCAGTCATCTGCAAACCAAGGAGTGAGGCCTTAGAGAAAATCAAATCTGTTGACACCTTGATCTTGGAGTTCTAGCTTCCAGAACTGTGAGAAAAATAAATTTCAGTTGTTTGCCACTCAGTCTGTGCTTTTTGTTATGGCAGCCCTAGCAAACCACCATTGGGTATATGTTGGTGATGCACATTAAAGCAATCTATGAATAGTACACTGCATTCAATGAATATGACTCACTTCAGCCTATCATTGTCCATCTCTAACATCTGCTAACAACTGGTACACACTAATTTTCTATAAACCTTGAAGTTTTGCATGAATGCAAAAAGCCATATCAAAAGGAAGAGCTAAAATATAAATACATTTTGTATATGCCCATGTTGAAATGTCTACTATCTAGTTTTCTAATTAAGGGCACATTAACTATACATTCTCCTTGAATGTCTGCTCACAGCAAGGTGTCTTTGCAAGATTTCTCTGTGTGTTTGTACATTGAGAATTAAATTTAAAAAGGATATTGCTTATACTATCACAATCTAACATCATAGACTATGTTCTAAGCTATGAAATATCCTTTATGACTGAAGAGTCTTTACTTTGGACAGTGTGCAGTAGAACAACTGAATGTTAAAACAACTCCATTTGATGCTTACTGAAGGTTTCTCTTATAATTTCCATTTACTGACATTATTTACCAACTCCCATCTCAGAAAGTACCTATAGAGGCAGTACCTATAGAGAAGTGATGACAAGCTTATATGTAGGACTATATCTTTGCCTGATTCACAATAAAGAAAGAGATTAGCAGTCCTAGATATAGTGGATCTACTGAAAAATTTTGGTGGCTGTGCTCATCAATTTTGAGAAAGGTGGTTTAATGGAGACTGGTATGGTGACAGCTTTTCCCAACCCTTCCCTACCCAGACACTGAACATGCAGTTCTACTTTCAGGAAATTTCCCTAATGTATTGTATTCTGAATTCCAAAATGTTTGTGAGCCTTAATTTAGCACTCCCTATAGTCCAGAGCATAACACATAGTCAGTCTTCAGTGTGTGTGTATGTATAGGTGTATGTATATATGTGTATATATGTACATATTAATGTATGATACAGTGTTCTGAAAAATTGTGCAGCATCATCTGAATGATCACTTAAATATTTATGTATTCTAATATGAGCAACTCAATCAATTGTATATAGCTTAGTTTAGGTCTGGATACTGAATAAAACTATGATCAAGTGAATCAAATGGTTCATTATGGGCTCAATCATGCTGCAAAAGCGAATTGTAAAACTGAATTCTCATTTGGATATATTACCCAAATTTATTACTGACAAATTGCTTACCATAACTTAATTCACTGACAGCAATATATTATTTCATTTTCACATTAAAATGTGAGATGAAAATACTGAAACTGTAATTCTAATTGTATTACCAGGTACCTATATTAAATTGAGAATTAATCGTGCATTTTAAACAGAAGATACTCCATACAAATTTTACATACCATTTGCACGATAGGCTCATGTAAGTAGCCTATTTATGAATTTTTGTGAACTTCTAATGCAATGCAGGGAGTCCACCATACTACTCTTCACATACTTTAGCCCTCTAATTTGGGGATGGTGAGGAAAAATTCTTACCACTAACTGCTAGTGACAGCTTCAGCTGGAATTTTATCTCCCTCTTGATACCCTGATTATACTTGTGGAAATCTTTGAAGACATTCTTCCTGGTCTTGGACACATTTTTTAAGGTAGATTCTGAAATTCGACCAAATGTTTTACTTTTGTTTGACTCTTCAGCGTTTTCCAGAAAACTGGGGACAGAAAAATGCAAAAAAAAGTGTCTATGGATTATTATATGATTTGATGACTATGACAATGTGTTTTATTTAATATTTCCTGAATGCTGAAACTTAAAGCTTAATAGATCTGTTCATTTACTCAAGAAATATATGGAATGCCTTATCTTTTCTTGGTAATTAGTGTATGTTTTATGTAAAGATTAATGTGACCTAGTCCCTAATTACATTGAATTTATAATAGACTATGGATGTATAGTTATTTGACTCCAAAATAATTATTGAGTACCTATTCAGAAACAAATACTCTTCTATGTTTTATGGTGTTATTGAACGTAGTAAAAGCTACAAAATAAATGTTCTCAGATAGGTAGGGGCCTCCTCGGTAGAGAAGATGTACACATATACTATTAGGATTCCAGACAATAGATAATTAAGTAACAAATTCAGTGGTAGAAACTCTAGGTATGAGCTCTAGGACGTGAGTAGTGAACGAATACATTTTGTTGGATTAATTAATGAATGCTGTCAGGTTTCCTACACCTCAATGTTGGCTTAAATCCCCAAATTGATTTCTAGAGATTCTCATAAATATGAAAAGGAAGGTAGGATTGGTAAAGAAGAATTTGAATATAAATTGTATAGTGACCCCTCTTCTATGCATTCCCATAATGTAATGAGGTGTCTTCCTTAAGTTTTTCCCTATGTATCAGCATTCTTTAATGATGCTCCCATACAATCCCAACTTCCATAACCAAATAAAGCACAATCCACTAACAAGATTTCATACACAGGTTAATAAAGTTCCAGGACTTGCTCCTGCTAAGGATGAAAAAGAAAATGAAGAGGAGGAGGAGGAGCAAAAACAGAAGAGAAGGAAAATAAAAGGAGAAAGAAATTGTGGTGAAAGAGAGGAAATTGAAAGAAAAGGAAATGAGAAGAAATCAGAGAAAAAGAAGAAGGAAAAGGAGAGAAAAATGAATTTGTATAAATATTAGCTACTATACTAAGTTGTCCTGTGTCTTAGAATCCTATGCTTGTTTTCTGGTTTACCAGATTAAATCTGTATCATTTTCCAGCTACTCACTGGGTGAAGATAGGATCCAAACTGCTTTTCATGATCTATGAAAGATCTAGATTCTACAACCTCTTTAATTTCTTCATAGATCACTATTCTCTATTTAGTAGCCACTAAATTCATTCAGTTATTTGCTTCTGTCATTTTTTCTATTCCTTCCCACTCTTTTTTGGGGGGGTGGGCAGAGGGAGAGAGAGAGAGAGTCTTAAGTTAGGTTTCATGCCGGTGCAGAACCCAACACAGGGCTCCATCTCACAACCCTGAGATCATGACCTAAGCTAAAATCAAGAGAGGCTTGATGACTGAGCCATCCAGGCACCCCTCTATTCCTTCACATTCTTGATTATATTTGATCTTTTGACATTTTCTCCACTGATTCTTTGAATAGCTGATACCATGTATGCCACACTCCTGATAGGCTCTCAGTGCCATTATTATATAAAGCAGCTCTTCATCTGTGCATTGTGGTACTGTGTTTGTATTATTTATTATATTTTATAAATTAATTTTGTTTGTTGCTTTACCTTTATTTAGATTCTATTCCCTCAATGCCAAAAATGAAGCAGGAGCAATATATATATTACTGATCATCAACTACCTAATGCTGTGGATATGTACTGCTTATAAAGTAAGTGCTCAAGGGAACAGTTTTTAAATAATGGAAATGGTGGATACATTAATTATATAAATTTTAAGAAGTGTATTTCCTTTTTTTTCTCCCACTCCTATCGTTCCAATCCTCCTATTATCTTGATAGCTCTTTGAGATTTCCAAATATTTATTTATCTGGAATTATGCTCTCTGGCCACACTTTCATTCCAAGATTTGTTTTGATTCTTTTGGTCATTTTGGTCTCATTTCACCATAAAATTTTAAAGTATGGTTGTATTTTAACAACCTTTATTATTAGTTCATGTTCTGATAACATAGCAGGCCTTTTCTAGTTACCTGAATAACAACCAATTCCTTCTTTCCTGTTGGTAGAATTAGTTTGTTCACTAATATGACTTAAGAGTAAAAATCTAATAGTCAAATTTCATTGCTCCATTCTTCTTAGCAGTGATTGACAATAAAAAGAGATATGTAAAAAGAAACACTCTCTTCCACAGGACTTTTGGTGCAGAGTACTGCATATGTCATTGCTTTATTTATTAATTTTTTTGAGAGAAAGAGAGAGTGAGCAAGCATGAGTGAGGGGAGGGGCAGAGGGACAAGCAGATTCTCTGCCGAGCAGAGACCGGGATGTGGGGCTGGATCCCAAGACCCTGAGATCATGATCTGAGCCCAAGGCAGATGCTTAACTGACTGAGCCCCCTAGGTGCCCTATCATTGCTTTTTCTATAATGTTCTACCTATAATATCAAGCCAGTGAAGAAGAGCCTCAAGAATGGCCAAGAGCCAAATTGGGAAATTGGAGCTCTTATGTACTGTGCTATGAGACCCCTCTCCTGTTCTGCTACTTATAGCCAAAAGCCTCTTAAAGATACAACAACAAAACAAAATAATACTATCTTATATTAAAATATATATACTTCCTCATTACTTATGCTTAAACATAGCATAATGAATATTCTTGAGTCCTTTCTACTTGATACCTTCAGAGGCTTTTGTTGGGTAATAGTTCTTTTTATACTAATTATAAATGTCTTCTGATAGGGGTGCTTGGGTGGCTCAGTCGTTAAGCATCTGCCTTCGGCTCAGGTCATGATCCCAGGGTCCTGGGATCCACATCCGGCTCCCTGCTTGGCAGGAAGCCTGCTTCTCCCTCTCCCACTCCCCTGCTTGTGTTCCTGCTCTTGCTCTCTCTCTGTCAAATAAATAAATAAAATCTTTAAAAATAAAAAATAAAAAATAAATAATAAATAAATGTCTTCTGATACCAAAGTGTGTTTGTTTATTTTTTCTAACTCCTCAATTTGATTTCTTCACCTCAGATGAACATCCTTTCAATTTGTTGGCTTTAAATATATACACACAAGTTTATAATTAGTAACAGTTGATTTATAAGTTTCTCCTATGGTTTATTTTGTTTGTTTGTTTTATACCTTTATTTGACAATCAGCAAATAGTTATCATCCACATTAACTGTCTGTAGATTTTTGAAAGTGGTGACAGGTACATAGGTAACCAACGTGTAGAGCTTGTTTGGTGAATCTTCATCCTCGTTATGTTTTCTGGACAACCACACACAGATACAGTATGGAACATTCTTTATTCCTTTGGCCCAGACAGCTTTGTTGAGCCTGGTGTCAATGTGCACATCTGGAGTTCCCATCTCCTTCATGGCAAATTTCCGGATCTCTTTGAGTGCCCCTGAGGCACACTTCTTGAAACCCATTCCATGGATGTGCTTGTGAATGTTGATGGTGTATTCTCTGGTCACTACTCTGTTGATGGCAGAATGGCCATTCTTCTTCTCGCCACCCTTCTTCACAGGAGCCACTCTGCTGGACCCTGGTTGGAAAAGTCTCCTATGGTTCAAAATAGCAGTGCTTGTAACATTTCATTTTCATGACTCCTAAGAGGTTTCTTTTGCTTATTTTTTCATTTATGGCAATATTTTAAATGACTGGCTTTCCCAGAAATCTAATCCTATGACAGAATCTTTGTATTTAGTATGCAATATAAGATGCAGATGGAGCCTACCAAGCAGTAAGGAAGAATATAGGCTAATTCAAAGATTTTTTAAAAGTTTTTATTTATTATTTTACAGAGAAAGACACAGTGAGAGAAGGAACACAAGCCAGGGGAGTGGGAGAGGGAGAAGCAGGCTTCCTGCCAAGCAGGGAGCCGGATGTGGGGTTCGATCCCAGGACCCTGGGATCATGACCTGAGCTGAAGGCAGATGCTTAATGACTGAGCCACTCAGGCGCCCCTAATTCAAAGATTTTTAAAATATCTTTGGTCAATGTTCTAAATATCTCTAGGCATTCAGGCTCCTATTAATTCCCCCATTCTTATGGTAGTCCTTGTAAACTCCAGCTACTCAGACTTCCATTTTGGTAATCATATGACTTGAATCCATTTGTTTAGCATCCTCTTAATGATTCATAGAAAATCGTCTTTGTTCATAAGCAAATAATAAATATATGTACACCAAGCACATGCATCGTCTTTTTAGTTACTAAATGAATCCGAAAATTTCTTTAAATTCCTCCTTTTTAACAAATTTTTATTTATTTAATTTATTTAAAGATTTTATTTATTTATTTGACAGAGACAGCAAGAGAGGGAACACAGCAGGAAGCAGGGGGAGTAGGAGAGGGAGACGCAGGCTCCCTGCTTAGCAGAGAGCCCCACATGAGGCTCGATCCCAGGACCCTGAGATCATGACCTGAGCTGAAGGCAGATGCTTAATGACTGAGCCACCCAGGCGTCCCTTAACAAATTTTTATTATTAAATATCTGTTCTGTATTTGTACTGCAGTAAAATCTTTTGTCCATTTGTTAGTATCTCACACTTCATTGATAATTACCATCCTCATTGTTTGACCTAATAATTGATGTTACATTACTTCTGAAGTTATACTAAAATATTTATTGCAAATAGAAAACAAAAACATTTCCATTTGTAGCAGCCACTTTAAGTAGAGAGGGTAAGGGTCTCTTTGCTATTAACCACATTTACTTAAAGGCATGAACAAAGTGATGATTTAGAAAAACAGGGTAAACCCATATAAACTCCAGCTTTATAACCTAGTGTTGTCTCTTATAGCTCTGACCACCACTTGAAATATAAACACATGCACCCATAGAGGTAAATCTCTCTGGAGTTGTCTATCTAATTAGTCTTAAATTATCTTCCAAGGCTTATTCTTTTAGCTAAAATTCCAAATTTCAGTAGAGTTTGTTCACAGAGCCCTAACTGTGTAAAAACATAAAAGTTTTTCTCTACTCCTCCACAACATGTTACAATCTTCTACTGTAACTGCAGATTTTTTAAAATTTCTCCCCCTATGTTGTCAATTTTTGATTCAGGTGAGCTTCTATTATTAGATGCATATACATTTTCAATTGTTAAGTCTTCCTGATATATATTTTCCTTATATCACTCTATGTCCCTCTTTATCTCTTCTCTGATGAGTTTTGTTTTTTTTTTTTTTGGAAACCTTGTTTATCTGTATTTTACAAGTCATTCCAGACTTATTTATGTTTTCTGTTTGCATTCTATATCTTTTCCTATTCCTTTACTTTTGATTCATCATTGTCTTATATTAGTTGTGTCTTTTTCTATATAGTAATTCCTATTCAATCTGTGCTGTAGGATGAATGTTGGATTTTACCTTGGACATTTTGAATGTTACGTTGCTTTTTAACTGGAGTAGTTCGACAATCACTATTTAGTAATATGTTAATGACTGATATGGTTGAATTTAGGTCTACTAAATTCAGTTATTTATCATTTGTTTTCTGATTGTTCTCTCTTATTTTATTTCTCAGGTCCATCTTTTCTGACATCTTCTGGTTTGTTTGAATAATGTTAAATTACATATTGATTTATGGCCTCTAGTTGCTCTAGGCATTACAATATACATATCAGACTTTCCCAGTCCGCTTCTTATGCTATTGCTATTAGAATATGGAAGGCTTGCAACCATGTAGATTCTTCCCTCCTCCCTATGACTTTTATGTGTAGTTATGCTATTTGTTACATATGCATACATTGTATACCTCACCTCAAGATTTTATATGTGTGTATATGTATCACTTAAATAGAAACATACCAGCTGTTTAGTATTTCTCTAGTTATGGTCTCTAATTCCTATTGATCCATGTTTCTCTCTGGTATTATCTCCTTGTAGGCCAAAGAACTTCCTTTAGGAAGTACTTGGAGAGCAGGTCTTCTGTTTGTGAAATCTTTCAGTTTTTATCATCATTTGAAAATATCTTTATTTTGCCTTCATTCCTGAAAGATATTTTCTCAGGATATAGCATTTTAGGTGGAAAGCTATTTTCCATCAAAATTTTAAAGATGTTGTGTTACTATCAGTGGTCTCCATATATTTGATGAGCGATCTGAAGTGATTTGAATTGTCCTGTATATGATGTGTTATTTTCACTAGAAGACTTTTTCTCTTAAGTTTTGAAACTCAGTTTTATTTGGGCTATGTCTGTATGTGTGTGTATATGTTTCTTGTGTTTGTTTCTAAAGTTCCTCCTCTTTGGAATTCACTGAATTTCTTGAATCTCTAAGTGTACGTTTCTCAACCAAATTTGGTAAATTTTGGCCATTATTGCTTCTATTTTTTTTCTGTTCTAATAACTTTCTCTTCTCTTTCTGATATTTCATTAGCATTAATGGTAGTTCTTTTGATCTTATCACTAGGTCTTTGAGGCTTTATTCACTTTTTTTTTTAAACTGTTCTCTTTCCCTTTTTCAGACTGAATACATTCTATTGATCTATGTTTAAGTTCAGTAATTCTTTTCACTTTCATCTCCATTCTGTTTTTCAGTCCAACAAGTGACTTTTTAAAACTTTTACATATTTATTTTTTATTCTAACATTTCCATTTTCTTCTTCTTTTTTTAAAAGATTTTATTTATTTATTTGACAGAGAGAGTGAGAGAGCCAGGGAGCACAAGCGGGGTGCGGGGGGAGAAGGCAGAAGGAGAGGGAGAAGCAGACTCCCCACTGAACAGGGAGCAGGATTAGAAGGCTCAATTCCAGGACCCTGGGATCATGCCCTGAGCCGAAGGCAGACGCGTAACTGACTGAGTCACCCAGGTGCCCCCACATTTTCTTCTTATTTATAGTTTCTATTTCTATTCTGAGAACTTCTTTTATTAATTTAGTGAAGCATATTTATAATAGCCACTTTAAAATTTTATCTGATAATTACACTGTCTAGATTTACTCCGGTTCAGCAACTGATTGTGTTTCCCTTAAGTGTTGGTCAGGTATCTGTAGCTCTTTGTGTGTTGAGTATTTTGGATCATACCCTGTAAGTTTTGTTTTGAATGTTGTGTTGGGCAGAGCCTCTCCTCAGGAGAATGTCAGGTTTTTGTTCTGTTTTGTTGTTTGTTTTATTGGGCAATCAGCTGTGTTAATTCCAGGAAATAAGCACTGGCAATACAATTTCTAGTTCATTTTTCAAAGCTTATGCTTCTTTGGATTTGTCCCATGCACGCACCAGTCAGAGATTAATCTGAGACCTGGTCCATGGCTAAATAACTGTGTAGTTCTCAAAGACTTTGCTATGTTGCTTGCCTTTTTGTTGTTGTTGTTGTTCTGTGTATGAGCCCATGAGTGAACTCAAAACTTGTTCTTATTCATACATGGAATTAGGGTACCCACTTTTTCTGTTTCCTCTCCAGGAGTCTCTCCACAGTCTTCAGCTTAAACAAGCCCCATTTACTATTTATTTTCTTCAGAAAAATGAGGTTTCTGACTATTGTGGGCTGAACTGTTTTTGTCCACAAAAATATGTTAAAGTCCTAACTCCAGGTACTTGTTAATTGACCTTATTTGGAAATAGGGTCCTTGTAGATGTAATAAATATCTAAGTTAGATGATTTCTTATTGGAGTCAGGTGGGCTCTTAATCCAATATGACTGGAGGGGCACCTGGGTGGCCCAGTCAGTTAAGCTGATCCCAGGGTCCTGGGATCAAACCCTGCATCGGTCTCCCTGGTCAGCAGGGTGTCTGCTTCTCCCTCTGCCCCTCTGCCCCTCTCCCCTGCTCATGCTTCCCCCCATTTCTCTCTCCCAAATAAATAAATAAAATCTTTTAAAAAAATCCAATATGACTGGAATCTTTTTTTTTAAATCTTTATAAGAAGAGAAGACACACAGAGACACACACAGAGATAAGAATGTCATGTCTCTGAAGACAGAGATTCATAGGAAGATGACCATGTGATTATGGAGACAGAGATTGGAGTGATGTATCTACAAGTCATGAAACACCAAAGATTGCCTGCAAATACCAGAAACTAGAAGAGGCAATAACTAAATAAATAAATACATAAACGAAATTAAAAATTAAAAAAAGATTCTTCCCTATAGGCTTAGAGGAAATGTGAACCTACAAACATGTTGATTTTGGAATTCTGGCTTTCCCAAAGCTGTGAGACAAATTTCAATTGTTTTAAGCCACCCAATTTGTGGTACTTTTTTATGGCATCCCTGGGATGCCCGGGAAACTTAGACGTTACGTTTTCCTCTCTTGCAATACTGTTCTGCCAGGTAGCTCGGCAATAGCTGCCTATACTTTGGGCAGACCTAAGAGAGGAAAGAGAAAAAAAATAAACTGGTAAAATCATCTTTGAATGGATCACATTTCCAACTTTGGAAACCCCTTTACAGTCTTCCTATTTTGCTTATTTTTTAGAGTCCTTAGCTGGTTCATTAGTATACAACAAGGCTTACACCAACATATGGATCAAGGACTGACTCATCTTTAACTTGTAATTTCTAGAATTAAATCCTTTATTCTATCCTGTTTATTTTAGGT